TATATTATCAAATAATATTGTTTTACTAGCTGGAGTACCCGTCTCCTGGACGGAAATTATGTAAATTCATGATTAACGAAAGGTATCTTAGGACATGTAAAGTTGCGTCCCTTACATGCAATTGTAAAAAACGCCTATAAAAACTGCAAAACACAAAATGTGAAACCGTAAATTTGCATGTATCTCCGCATGGACCCAACAACAGGAGGCGAAGTAGTGGTAAAAAACGCCCAATAAAAACAGCAAAATGCAAAACTGAAAATTTGTATGTACCCCCACATGGACCTAATGAGCCTGCACACCAATTTTGGTGAAGATCCATTCACAACCTGCCAAATAGTTACATGGTTATATAACAGACAGTACTATTATATAGACGGAAGTTATCCAAATTCATGATTAACGAAAGGCTATCTTAGGACGTGAAAAGTTGCTTCTCTTATATGTAATTGTAAAAAACTCAAAACTGAAAATTTGTATCTATCACCCATAGACTCAATGAATCTCCATACCAAATTTGGTGAAAATCCATCCACAGGAGGTGAGGTTAGAAAACGCCCATAAAAACAGCAAAACTGACAATTTATATATACCACCCGCATGCACCTAAATAACCTCTACACCAAATTTGGTGAAGATCCATCCACACCCTGCAAAGTAGTTACATGGACATACAGCAGACAGTATTATTATATTTATATACATACAGTCGTAACAGTCGCATTTTCGCTTATTTTAGGCATCAACAATACCAAAAACGTTTCATCACTAGAATCCTAACTTCTAAACAATGAAAAATAGATTCTGTGTAACAAGTATATGATATAAGAGCTGCAAGTGTCCTAAGTATTATTAACTTTGATGAAAATAAATGTCTAAAAGCCTAGAGGCATTGTTGGTCTCAGGAAGAAGCAAAGGCGTAAAAAAAAAATTACTTTTTGCAACATTTAAATGACGTTCATTTTGTTGTATACGTTTAAAAATATGTTATTGGCCGAGACCGTAACCAGATTGTTGTAGACTTCAGAAAACCCGAAAAAAAAGCTTTTAAGGTAACTAATAGGTTAATCAAATCAAAACCTGGCATATATTATTTCTTTTCGTGTTACTATATGGTAACGTAATAACGTCTGATTGTTTTGTTATTGATTTCTGAACAAAAATGGAGGATCCGAACCCCTTCCGTAGAAACGTGCTTGTTTCAGGATGTGTGACTTTTACGTCTTCTTATTGAAAAAGGCCTTGTGCGACATATAAGAATATAGACCTGAAAGGTTATTTTTACATTCCTCTTTAATAACCAAAATCCGTACTGAAATAATTAAGATTTTGAAGCAACATCATTGAATCATTTATTGTTAGGCCTATAACAACCTCACTTGCTTTATTAGCTTAGGCGAATTTCATCAGTGCAAAAATATCTTTTCCTCGATCAACCTTTTTTTTTTATCCTGAATTTTTTTATTGGTCATTCCAAAATGTTAAAAACTGCCCGTTTGGGATGGGTAGTATAACCTATGTTTTTTACTCGCTTTAGCAATGTATAGAAATAAATAATATCGTTTATTTAGTTTGTACACCTGGTCCAAAAAGTCGTTGAGATTGTCTTTTTCTAGTTGTTTTGTTTACAAAATGCCCATTCTGCCCTAGAGTATATTACAGTCACATATAGCATCTGGGTTGAAAGGATTAGTGACTGTAACATCCTTTGCTGGCCGAGTTGACGTTGTCTGAATGTTACAGCCGGACAGTCCCCCAGTGGGGCAGCGATAAGTCTTCGGATTTACAATGCTAAAATAAAAGGTTCGATTGCCCTCGGTGGACACAGCATATAGCCCTATGTGGCTTTGCTATAAGAAAATACACACACACACACACATACATACAGCCGGATTGCTGCAAGAGAACAAAAGTTACAAAGTGACTCTGTCGACTGGACAAAGAAAGCAAGCTTATTAGTTCATTCCTGAAAGAGCCAAAGATGTGGGACTAAGCACAAACTAGTGGAGATTCGACTACGATCCTGTCTACAAGAGTATGTACGCTGCGTTTTCTTTTTATCTGTTCTGTAGTACAGATTGCGTCCATTTTTGCTAAGTTTGTCCGGTCTCGTTATTTTACACACATTGGTAAAACTCAGTTATCAGATTCAGAATTACTCTCCTTATTTCCTGAGCGAACCTACTGTTATTAGTTCGTCTAACTATGTGAAACTTGTCGGAAAATACGTTTTTACCTGAAAATACCACACCAACTCTCACAAAACCTTTGCGAAGCTCAATTTTTGATTGCTGTAATTATTGAATAAATTATTAAAAACTAGAATAATTATAAAAATAAATTATGTAATAGCCAAAGAAATATATTAACTTCAGAATCCGAATAAAATTCGTTTCATCTTTCGCTGTGAGCTGGTTCTCTCATTACGCGTAAACGTTGACCTTTTTACTAATAATTTATACGACCTATAATTGTTTCCAGAATGTTTTATTTTGAAATTTTTCCTGATTGAAAATTTAGAATATAAGTCATTTTTGGAAGCTTCCGAATCAGATTCACATGTAACCGAACCTGGTCGAACATATTAATTTTCACCCCCTGCTTCTTTCAGTTTTAAAAAGTGCCCCCCCCCCCCAGTGGTACAACGGTATGTCTGCGGGCTTACACCGCTAGAGACCGGGTTTCGATACCCGTGGTGGGCAGAGCACAGATAGCCCTTTGTGTATCTTTGAGCTTAATAACAAACAAACAAACAGCTTTAAATATTTCTGGTAAATGGCTTTAAATACAAAGAACACATGAAATCAGGTCAGTTTTTACTTAATGTATTATATTTTATTAATAAAATACTAGATTTTATCTAATACACATGGTGTTAGTCTGCGGGAAAATGCCGTAATGTTTAATCACTAGTGGCATACGAAAGATGTCACGAATATTAAACAAAACTCAGTTTTAAATACACTGCTCAGTTTGAACACGACAACGTCCCAATCTCAAAGAAAAAAAAAACTAATGTTATTTATATCATACGATATTTTAAAGTTTCATTTTTATGCCATTGAAACACGACGTACCCAGGTTTATTCTACCGTAACCCTTATTTTATGTATAGTATTTACGTTGATATATAAAGAACCTTTTAAAGCATCCGAATTGTTTTTATTCACTATTAAATATCTTGCTTTAAGGCAAATTCTCTAAGTTTTTATGAATGGTCTGTGGTTGCTCTTCATCAAATTATGTATTCTCCAAAAATCAGTACGCAGTAAAATGTAACAAAACAAATAACAGAATAAATCCATTAGCATATCTACCAGTTTTCACAAACTTTCACTGCTTCAGATTGGTGGGGAAAACAAAATCAAAATTTACTTCACAAGAACTCTGTTAAATTACTTTTTTTTTAATTGGCAGAACTGACGACGTAAGTCTGGAATATCATATAAACTGCTTCCGGTTTGGTTCTTCAAGTAAAAGTAGTTCCAATTCAACAAACAAGTTAGGAACAGTTTATAATGCATTTTAAAACAAAACAACGAAGCTTAAAAAACATTCTAATACTTATTATTCCGTTCGTTAACTAAAAAAATATTAAGGGTATCTGCCATCGCCCCAAATTTTGAGCTGCTGACCAGAGAGAAGACAGCCAGTCAGCAGCATCCTACCATCCACGCTAGGGGATTGACTGTCACGCTTATAACGGATCCACATCTTAAAGTGCGGGAGATATTTCCTGATATCACACAGACTCGATCATGGCTCGCCAAATCCGAAATCCAGAGCTCCACCACAGGGCCAACCCGCACACCCTGTTCGTTAAGAACAATTTGTCAATTTACCAAACAATATGTTCGGTATATTACAGAATTATAACCGTTAAAAATGTCATGTGCATGTGTATCAGTATGTTCAACTGAGCTGTACACCGAGTTCTATGTTAAATTAATTATTTAATTAATATATATTAGTTACACAGAAGAAAAATAAATAAAATAATAAAACCAAGGTTCCAGCAAAGGTCATTAAAGAATCTATAGAGCTAATATGCACAAAATATTTTTTGTGACCTAATGCGAGTTGGAAGTTAAATGTCTATATACAAGCTCATACACGATGATAATACTTTTGATTGGTTGATCTTCAGATCACGTAAATTACCTGAAAACATGAAAGTATGATTAAGCTTAAATTATATATATATATATATATATTGATCTTTTAGTAAATATAGGGCCATATTTAGTACACTTTTTTTTGGGGGGGGGAGATACCTTGTACTGAATGTCACAGCAAGTTGATGATCAGTAAGTTTAGGTGTTTAATATTAACACGTTCCTCAGGAGCCAAGGGGTGTCTTTACACTATAATTTCTTGAATATTAAAAGTAAGTTCAATCCGGAAACTCCCAAAGAGGGTGGTTTTGGACGTATCTTTTCGAGACAAGCTTTCGTTTGTTAATTGATAAATTTCTAAGTGAAATACAGCATCCTCAAGTAGCTAGTACTAAGGTCTACCCGCTAGGAGTAAATTCAGTATATATATATCAATAAAGCCACATTCTCAGCATCATTATTCAAGCAATTGCCAACCTTTTATGCTTCTGCTATCACCTTTTCAAGCATAGCTTTCAATTGAGATACGAACGATTTCACCTGCGATTCGGTAGGGAAGGTCGAAGGATCACAATAGTCAGCAGTAGGATAAGCAGACAGGAACACTTTGAAAGCAGCTACAGGCGTAATATTGTACTCAGCTTGCTGCAAAATATCTACTGAGGTGATTCTAAACAGTTCCTGAATACCTCTGCGTGTCATTTGGGGACTTCCATGCTTCTTGTGCTTGGCTGTTAAGCTTGCGATACACTGACGGATTTCAGTCACCTTACCACTTCAAATCACTTTTTATAGCCCCAATGCTAAAGGAGTGCGGGAAATGCCTTCTTTTTAGTCAATAAAAATGTCAAAAACATTTCAGTTGAAATTAAGAAAAACCTTATTGGGTAGCTCTTTTTTTTTTAAACAAAAATGTCCTCCACTGGCTCGTGAGGGGCCTGTTAAAATCCTACTTTCTTAGTTCTTTCAATGTCTAAAGATATTACACAAACATTTTTTGTACATATTTATGGATCTGTATATATATATTTCTGGCTTTTATTTACTTACGCTGTGTGAGGAAGTACGGTAACTGTTCATAAACTGTTCTCTCTCTCTCTGATACTTCCACATCTGTACTAAGACATTTTCACGAAAACAATTTCTTTTGAAAGTGCACAAATTACTGGTGAAAAAACAAAAGAGGGAACAAGACGTTCTTAAAGCTGTATGAAATCATACGGTTAGAGTAGGCTTCTACGAAAAGAGGCGACGTTGAGAAGTTTTATCCAATATTTGAGCTTCGTGCCCGTGTCAGGAAAAACCAACGTTATTATCTTCTTAATTCAAGAAGGCTTTGCACAAGAAATCCTCATTAAGCCATTGAAACTATTCTACAAACATTCGGTCTCTTCCATAAGGTAACCCTTTAAGCATTTTTTAAAGATTTGAATGCTATTATATTCACACTTCCTTTGAGCCAGATAATACAATGTACACAAAATATACTAGAACGAAGCCTAACGCCACGTGGTTTCTTTGGATAATGGCAGATGAGCTGTATCCTGGATCACACGAGCATTGGTACGATCCACAAACTTGGCAGATGTCTAACGAATGAAGATTTGATGTATCAAAAATTGTCTGATTGTAACGCTCTGAAATGAAAACGAATAAAATTAAATTGAAAACCTTATATCAATGTTTTCGAAAAGCAAACAAGTAGCTCTTAATTACAATTAATAGAAAAAATAAATCAATTTAGCAAAAACAACAACAACAATTTTTATAATCTCTTTTTTTATTTAAATCGCTGTAATAGTGGCTATTCTTTTGATCAAATTATTTTCATCGAGACCTGATCCAGTGAATGTCATTTTTTTCTGAAATATTAAAAATTTTCTATTTACAATAAATTGAAACATTTTAGTGTTTTCATATTTTTGTTTATCATATGGATAAAAGTTGTATATCAAATATTTATCTCTGTTAAAAGATATAATAATAATTAGTGATGCAGGAAAAACATTTTACTAAAATTAAAGCTTTTATTAAAGATGATGAAATCTTTGTCGATTCGAAAACATTAGTCTTGACGTATATATATATATATATATATATATATATATAAACATACTATGTGTTTTCTACCTCTCTGTAATAATATAGAAGATTCTCAAAACTTGCTGTTTTTTGTTTTCACACCAATTTGGCCAAGAAAGTTTTTAAACTCCTTTAACTTTACCTGACCACTGTATGTTGTCATTCACCTAAAGTAGCAACTTTTATCCTCTCGTGGGAAAGATAGCTGTAAGGTCATCTATGCTATGAAATGTTATACAGGTGTCTTTTCCACTGGTGGTCAGGTGACCACTGTAGTTAATTGAAAAACGACTAGTTCTTATGTAGCGCTAGGTGCTCTGGATAGGCCTTACGTTAATGGTTTAAGTAGTTAATGCAACTTGAGATCACAGAGTTAGGACTAACTCTCCAGTAAAGGCAACTTGTCCGTTGTGACAAATATACACTCGAACTGTGTTTGTTTTAAAAAAAGTCTAACTATTGTGATTGTACGTATGTGTTCTGCCTTTCTTTATTTATCACAACTTCAATATACTTCGCACTAAACATCTTGTCGAATCTTCCATTATTAATAGACCCCTTGTAACTCTGCGTGGAATCAGTCTCACCTGAAAGTACCACACTTTTTGTGTAATTTAGCCCTATTATCTTAAATAAGTATTTTAATGTATGTTATTCTAGTCTCGTGAATTCACAACCTTCTAAGCAACTTCCTATTCCTACTGTCTGGAGCTTGAGTCAGAGGGGTCATCACTTAGAACTTTACATAAACTAAAGACGACTGACTTTAAAATTTAAGTATAAGTCGTTGCCTTTCAGTTATTAGTCAGTCTACATATTAGTTTATAATCATTTGAAAGATAAATTATGTTATAATTAACCACATCTAAAGATGAACAGTACCAGTCTTATTTTTACAAGCAACATAAAAAATCTGATGTAATTTAGGCTGTAGGTTTCCTAATAATCTCCGTTTTACTAAAAACATATTTTAACATTGCATTTACTTTATTTCTTTAGTATTATACAGAAAACTTCATAAAACAGTAGAAAAAGGGTGCAAGACCAATGAAACTCTAAGGCTTAATAAATTATGTTAGGGAACATGACTTGACATTTGTGTCGGACCAGGTCCGGCAAACTGGGCACCAGATGGACCAACATTTTGTCACAGTAACTGTAAGGCTTTTTAAACTTTAACTTGCACTTCAAAAGTTGTTTCTAGGTAAACAGATAGACTTATAATAGTGTGTATGAATCAGTCTAACAATGTATAATAAATTACATGTATTACATGCGTAATCTGCAAGTGTACATATGTTTGTGGTTACTTATAGCTATGGTGAGTATAAGTGCTAGTGAACACCTATTTTTGTGAATCATAAAGAAGTGCTTGCAAATGATTAATACTTTCAATAAACTATTGTAAAATTAGCACAAGACTCAATCTCAGAGCACCTATTTTTCAAAATTTTACTAGGGCCTATGCCCCCAGACCCCTAGCACTGAGTTGCCTGACCAATCTAAAACTGTTCCTCCAACTCTGAGTCTTGATATAGAATTTTATTTCTCAGCTCTACGTGAGACGGTTCGTAGCAGGTGGTGGTCATTATCAAATCTGAGATGGCACTTGAGATGGCCTTTATCTAACATTTATCTTCTATTTATCACATGACATATCTTTCATGAAATAAAATATAGGATTAAAATAGAACTGACTCCAGGCATTCAGGAATTCAACAAATTTATTCTATGTTGGAGAATAGCAAAGTATATTAAATACAAAACATAGCTAAGCCTATTTCATTCGAAATAAGTTAATTACAAACTCAGCTAGAGGCTGTTTTATGAATCCAATCAAGTGGCAAATATAACCAGTTTCTCTATTGTTAATTGATTTTCACCGTCTCACTAAACCATTTCCCCATTATTTCATGTTCTTACTCGAGATGTATTTTATCTTTAATGTCCATTACTGTTTTCTACGAGGACCATCGATTGTGATTAATGATTATTTTGTATTGTGAGGTTTAAGAGAAATTCCAGAGAATTATTTTTCTTATCATGAAGAGAAACATACTAGTTTATAGATAACACAGTACGAGTAAACACTGAAACTATAATTACCTGGTGCGTAATAGTCATAAACCTTGACTTCCAAGTGTCTCGTTAAATTTGCTACAGGATACCACCGATGTACAGTAAACGAAATACAACTTTCATAAGCACTTAACTAAAGAAAAATAATGAATAATATTTAAATTTAAACAGGAATATTAGAATACCAGAATGGAGCTCGGACATTCAGTAGCAGAAAATTAAGTTTATATTAATTAAAATATTAATATAGAAAATATTGAAAGTATTTAAGTAATGGAAATGAAGACATCTGTTAACTTGTATAGTTTTAGTATATTAACTATTTTTAAGGCTATTATTGTCAAACAATTTAGATTAGCATTTCTCAAACTGTGTTCGCGAGTCATGTCCGAAATTTCATAAACAATATATTTAAAAAATATGATTCATGGAATAAAAAATATTTTTCGTAAAATTAAATTTATATGAATTAAGACATTTAATTCTGGAATAAAGCTTCCATGTGCACAGAATGGTGTTTACATTTTATTTTAAGAACCCTTGCGAGAACATTTTTGGGGATATTGAAGTAGATAAAAAATGAAGGAATACTTACATAATCAAAATAATAAAAAATGAAGGAACACTTACATAATCAAAATAATAAAAAAAATGAAGGAACACTTACATAACCAAAATAATAAAAAAATGAAGGAACACTTACATAACCAAAATAATAAAAAAAATGAAGGAACACTTACATAACCAAAATAATAAAAAAATGAAGGAACACTTACATAACCAAAATAATAAAAAAATGAAGGAACACTTACATAACCAAAATAATAAAAAATGAAGGAACACTTACATAACCAAAATAATAAAAAATGAAGGAACACTTACATAGTCAAAATAATAAAAAATGAAGGAACACTTACATAACCAAAATAATAAAAATGAAGGAAGGAACACTTACATAACTAAAATAATAAAAAAAAATGAAGGAACACTTACATAACT